AAAATTTATGTTACTTTTAGGTTTACAAAGTTCTCAACTTATAACACACAAATTTTACTTAATTTATTACTAAGAATATTGAAAAACTAACTAAACTTTAGTAAAATTTCGTTGAATTTATTCTAGAGTTGTAATTACAAAAAGAATTGATTTATTTCAGAAGAAATGTTTAAATTTTTCCTAAAAGTTATGTTACTTTTAGGTTTACAAAGTTCTCAACTTATAACACACACATTTTTACTTAATTTATTACAACTTATTACTAAGAATATTGAAAAACTAACTAAATTTTAGTATAATTACGTTGAATTTAATTCTAGATTTGTAATTGATTTATTTCAGAAGAATTGTTTCAATTTTTCGTAAAAGTTATGTTACTTTTAGGTTTATAAAGTTCTCAACTTATAACACACAAATTTTACTTAATTTATTGCTAAGAATATTGAAAAACTAACTAAACTTTAGTATAATTTTGTTGAATTTATTCTAGTGTTGTAATTACAGAAAAAAAAATGATTTATTTCAGAAGAATTGTTTCAATTTTTCCTAAAAAATATGTTACTTTTAGATTTACAAAGTTCTCAACTTATAAAACACAAATTTTACTTAATTTTTTACAACTTATTACTAAAAATATTGAAAAACTAACTAAATTTTATTATAATTTTGTTGAATTTAATTCTAGATTATAATTGATTTATTTCAGATGAATTGTTTCAATTTTTCCTAAAAGTTATGTTACTTTTAGGTTTACAACGTTCACAACTTATAACATACAAATTTTACTTAATTTATTACTAAGAATATTGAAAAATTAACTGAACTTTAGTAGAATTTCGTTGAATTTTTTTGCCAATGAGCGAAATTTCAAATTTTCCTTTAGATGTACAACATTCTCTACGTATAATACAAATGTTATACGTAGAACTTAATACTAATTATTGATTTCGAATATGCGTAGATAATGAGATAATAAAATATATACATAAAATGAGTGTAAGATTAATATTATGTGTTATTACTTCACAATCTTACATAAAAAAAGTATTGAAAAATAGGGAAAGGTCGTCGCAATCCGCTCTATTTGTAAGCGAATTGAATATTATAATTAATAGCTCGGATATTTTAATGCGCTTCTGGAAAGGTCGTTCGTTCATTTCAATTGCGACATTGGTGAGCGTTTTATATTTTGTAATGCACACATAAACTTCTCAATTTTCATGAAACTTCATCATAACAACAATCCAATTTAATGTAGAGGTTACAGTCATAAAGATAATTCTAAAATTTAACTATTTCCACATTATTTTCAGTCCTGAAGTGATTAACATTACGTTTTATCTTTAAATTAACTAATTTATTTTCTTTACAGAAGAAGTGATAAAATTTTAATCATAATATACGCAACTATGGGATGGTATGAGAGTAAAGCGATATCAATTTCCACGTGAGCAGGTAAAATCCGCGCGAATTATTCATTTATTAAATTACTTGTGCACGCAACGTCCCTTTTACATTTTTTTTTTTCTCTATCATTCATTCATTTTTTGTTGTTGCACATCCCGAGTTTGGCGCGCGTTTCTCCCTTTGGGGCTCTGCAACATTCCAGCCGGTTGCACCCGTGCAGACCATGTGTGCGTGTAGATTAAACAAATTTTACAGTTTATGTAAATGTACTTAATTTCATACACACATATGTATATAATATTAATATTGTTTATGGCGAGAGGAAGTGCACGAGCGCAATTTTTCAGTTGAATGCATCGTTTTATTATTCAAATGCAGGCGCAAATTCGGATGGTTTTTGGGGTGGTGGTGGAGGTGGTTTTGGGTTGTTCGTACATTTTGAAATCGAAGCGGGCCGATTTCCTAAAGAGGCGTGCGGGGGGTGTGAAGTGGGGGTTGGGGCACGTACACACAAACAAATGAACCACAAACCAGCCAACCCGGACGCAATTATTACGAACGCATAAATATATATATTTATTTCATTTCTAAATCTACCCCGCCTGCATAACAATATTTAGCAACAATATATGATAATTAAATGCGCACGTTCTCGGCACTGAATTTATTCCATCCCCAAAATGCGGACGGACACAAGAACATTTTAAATTGTTTGCAATTAGTTTGATGTTGAAATATTATTGAAAACGCGTGCTAATTATTAAATGTAATTCTTTGCGCATATTTCCGCCCGTTTCTATTACTTCAACGTGCAGTGTGTTACGGTTACGGCACATTTCGACATCTTTGCGACTTCCTCGTCGTGTCTACACCGAACTAGTTGCTAATCACTCAATTAAACACAATTGGAATTCCTCCTTTGTCTTAATTACTTTTTTTTGTTGTTGCTTGTTTGAATTAACAAAAACAACACTTTAATGAATATTTCATCAACGTTATTTCAATTACGAAAAAAATTAACTCAATTTATTACACTAAATATCTTTAATTAATTACAATTTGATTATGAATTAATTCTAGAAGAAATAAAGGAAATCAGATCAGGACAAAACTTTTCAATTATTAAACCAACTCATACTGAAAATATTGAAGTGTTTTTGATATTCAGTTAGTTAACTTCATAAAACGTCTTGTCTTGGTATAGTTCTATTATTTGTAATTTACACGTAATTCATTATCAAACTTGAAGAAACGGTTTTTTTTTAATCATTGAAAAAACAATGTCTTTATATTTTTGCTTATATCTTGAAAAGTATGAACAACAAATTCATTACAAATCAACCAAATTGAAGCCAAATATTCACACTTTAAAACTGTATCTTGGTATAGTTGTACCAATTGTAATTTACACGTAATTCACTATCAAACTTGATGAAACGTTTTTTTAAATCTTTGAAAAAGCAGTCTCTTTACATTTTTGCTAATATCTCGAAAAGTATGAGTAACAAATTTATTATTAATCAACCAAATTGAAGCCAAATATTCACTCTTTAAAATGTGTCTGTTGGTATAATTGTATCAATTGTAATTTAGACGTAATTTACTATCAAACTTGATGAAACGTTTTTTAATCTCTGAAAAAGCAGTCTCTTTACATTTTTGTTAATATCTCGAAAAGTATGAGCGACAAATTCATTATTAATCAACCAAATTGAAGCCAAATAATCACTCTTTAAAATGTGTCTATTGGTATAATTATATCAATTGTAATTTACACGTAATTCACTATCAAAATTGAAGAAACTTTTTTTTAAATCTTTGAAAAAGCAGTCTCTTTACATTTTTGTTTATATCTTGAAAAGTATCAGTAACAAATTCATTATTGATCAACCAAATTGAAGCCAAATATTCACACTTTAAAATGTGTCTTTTGGTATAATTATATCAATTGTAATTTACACGTAATTCACTAACAAACTTGAAGAAACGTTTGTTTAAGCTTCGAAAAAGCAGTCTCTATACAGTTTTGTTTATATCTTGAAAAGTATCAGTAACAAATTCATTATTGATCAACCAAATTGAAGCCAAATATTCACTCTTTAAAATGTGTCTGTTGGTATAATTGTATCAATTGTAATTTAGACGTAATTTACTATCAAACTTGATGAAACGTTTTTTAATCTCTGAAAAAGCAGTCTCTTTACATTTTTGCTAATATCTTGAAAAGTATGAGCAATAAATTCATTATTGATCAACCAAATTGAAGCCAAATATTCACACTTTAAAATGTGTCTTTTGGTATAATTGTATCAATTGTAATTTACACGTTACATTAACAAGACTTTGTTCAGTTCACGTTTCGATCAATTAATTTTACTCTTTTGTAGATCATTGCTAATGAGTTGCGAAACTCTTGAAGAAACAAGCACTGGAAGCTATTAAAAAATGCGTCCTTTATTGTTATGAATTTATATTACGAATTTATGAAAATAAAGCTAGAGTGAAATTGCACTATTCTCAAGGTTCGTGCTGTAACAAAAAAAAAACAAATCCAATTACTTCTCGAGTGCAGTGTAACTGTTGCAACTGTAAACTATGAATTATATTCTTTGTCTTATTTCTGATTTACGACGGTAAATCAAAACTTTTCCAGCGCGAAAGTAATTGATTTGTAATGAATCGAATTATCTTATAGAGAAAATTGGATTAGAAACGATGGGAGAAGTAAAAGTGCTTATTTACAATATGTAGATCTGGATTCTTTTCAAATTCAATTAAAGAGTTTCTCCGGATGTTAATTGCAATTTTGTGTTCATATAGGCAACTTTATTTGCAAGTAATTTAATTGTTTGCTTATTTTGTTGATGTTTTTCACTACAGAATACGCCAATTTTTATTGGATCAAAAGGGCTACGTCCCAAATTTTCAAATTTAATTTAAAAAAAATCTATTTTTAATGTTAAGAAATTTGCTTGATCGAATGAAAATTTACTAATTACTTCAATTTACTCTAATTTTTTTTTTGTGTGTGTGTGTTTTGAAGCATTCGACGAAAGCGGTCAGCTTTTAATATGGGAAACGCGTAAACACGTTCGGCTTTAATTCGGAAAACCCTCTCGGGAAATCACGCTTTTCCTGTTACGTTCTGTTAGATGTTACAGACATTTAAGTTGGAAAAAACGCTACCAGAAAAAAATGTAATAGTTAATGATTAGTCAAATTGTGGATGTAGTTTTGATGAAGATTATCTTAATGAAAATTGCAATTTTTTTGTTGTTTGTTTTGGTAAATATGATCAAAACAAGGTACGTTTATTAAATATACATCTTACATCTAGTTTTTAAGCGTTTCAACCAAACTAAATTTCGTTTTTTTTTCTTATGTTTTCTACACCTTAAACCATTGTTTTTTTTGGAAATTTGTTTTTTTTTTATAATAATTGGAAAGGGTTGATTAATTTGCTTATTTCTTTTTTTTGTAATACATTTATGCGACTTACGTATTTTACTTAAGGAAACATTATTTACATGTGATGTAAAGGGAAAAACTACGTTTTTAAAGCTATTTCTCTGTTTTTTTTTGTGTTTGTTTTCTTTGTTACTTTAGATCTTAAGAGATACACCTTTTACTTAAACATTACGTAATATAGTTGGGAAATAAATAATAAGATAGTTGGAGAGAGAGATAAGTTGTAAGTGATGTCAATCGTTGAAGATGTCTTCTAAAAGTTGCTTGGTGATGGAGCGATGAGGCTTCGTCGGGTCGAGTTTTGGACGTCCGTAGAGTCTGCTGTTGATCACGTACAGTCTGCAAATCAGAAAATTGGATTGTTAGGAAAGATGTTAGCATAATTTTGCGAGTGCGCGAGTGGTTAGGTGTGTGTCTGTGTGTTTGTTGCGAAACGTGCCTTGTGCTCAGGTCACATCTGACGTTGAACCACCAGTCGCAGACGAAGACCGCTTGACTGAATTGGGTGCCGTTCGGGCACAGGAAGGTCGTCTGTCTTCCGTCGATGTCGCAGTAATGCCAGCTCTGACATCTGGTCTCTGGATCCGCGTAGAATCCTGGATAGGGTTGCTCGTCGCAGTAGAAGTTCGTGTACGGCACCGTTCCGAGGACGGGATAATCGGTTCCCGGTCGACCTGAACACAAATCATTAATTTCTCATTAATTTCTCACAAATTACGAAAACAAATTATCAAAGTATCAATTTGATTATATTCTTAGCAGTGATAGACATTTTATATACATTTAGAATTCCTTAAGAAACTTCACACAAATCCCACAGAAATCTTATGGAAATACCTCATAGAAGTCCCTTAGAAATCATTGAAGTAATTCGAAAAGTACGGGTTGATGTTTTCGAAATATCTCATTGATTCTACATAATTGAAATGTAGAAGAGAAAAGTCACAAACGTTTTGAAATATTCATTTCATTCACAAGTTTCTTAAGGAATTCTAAATATCTAAATGATTTCTATGAATTTTCTATAAAATTTTCATCACTGCTAAAGAGTATAATCAAATTAATACTGAATTTACATTCGAAAT